AGCGGACGTAAGCCGAGCATGAGAGTTATGAATGGCAAACCTCATCAATTGGGTAGTGAAAGAATAGAAGTAACTATCCTTTGATGAGCTATAGTGATAAGGTGATGCGATTCAATTGGGTAGTGAAAGAATAGAAGTAACTATCCTTTGATGAGCTATAGTGATAAGGTGATGCGATTCAATTGGGTAGTGAAAGAATAGAAGTAACTATCCTTTGATGAGCTATAGTGATGCGACTCAACTGGATAGTGAAAGAATAGAAGTAACTATCCTTTGATGAGCTATAGTGATAAGGTGATGCGATTCAATTGGGTAGTGAAAGAATAGAAGTAACTATCCTTTGATGAGCTATAGTGATAAGGTGATGCGATTCAATTGGGTAGTGAAAGAATAGAAGTAACTATCCTTTGATGAGCTATAGTGATGCGACTCAACTGGATAGTGAAAGAATAGAAGTAACTATCCTTTGATGAGCTATAGTGATAAGGTGATGCGATTCAATTGGGTAGTGAAAGAATAGAAGTAACTATCCTTTGATGAGCTATAGTGATAAGGTGATGCGATTCAATTGGGTAGTGAAAGAATAGAAGTAACTATCCTTTGATGAGCTATAGTGATAAGGTGATGCGATTCAATTGGGTAGTGAAAGAATAGAAGTAACTATCCTTTGATGAGCTATAGTGATGCGACTCAACTGGATAGTGAAAGAATAGAAGTAACTATCCTTTGATGAGCTATAGTGATAAGGTGATGCGATTCAATTGGGTAGTGAAAGAATAGAAGTAACTATCCTTTGATGAGCTATAGTGATAAGGTGATGCGATTCAATTGGGTAGTGAAAGAATAGAAGTAACTATCCTTTGATGAGCTATAGTGATGCGACTCAACTGGATAGTGAAAGAATAGAAGTAACTATCCTTTGATGAGCTATAGTGATAAGGTGATGCGATTCAATTGGGTAGTGAAAGAATAGAAGTAACTATCCTTTGATGAGCTATATTAGTGATAAGGTGATGCGATTCAATTGGGTAGTGAAAGAATAGAAGTAACTATCCTTTGATGAGCTATAGTGATGCGACTCAACTGGATAGTGAAAGAATAGAAGTAACTATCCTTTGATGAGCTATAGTGATAAGGTGATGCGATTCAATTGGGTAGTGAAAGAATAGAAGTAACTATCCTTTGATGAGCTATAGTGATAAGGTGATGCGATTCAATTGGGTAGTGAAAGAATAGAAGTAACTATCCTTTGATGAGCTATAGTGATAAGGTGATGCGATTCAATTGGGTAGTGAAAGAATAGAAGTAACTATCCTTTGATGAGCTATAGTGATAAGGTGATGCGATTCAATTGGGTAGTGAAAGAATAGAAGTAACTATCCTTTGATGAGCTATAGTGATGCGACTCAACTGGATAGTGAAAGAATAGAAGTAACTATCCTTTGATGAGCTATAGTGATAAGGTGATGCGATTCAATTGGGTAGTGAAAGAATAGAAGTAACTATCCTTTGATGAGCTATAGTGATAAGGTGATGCGATTCAATTGGGTAGTGAAAGAATAGAAGTAACTATCCTTTGATGAGCTATAGTGATAAGGTGATGCGATTCAATTGGGTAGTGAAAGAATAGAAGTAACTATCCTTTGATGAGCTATAGTGATAAGGTGATGCGATTCAATTGGGTAGTGAAAGAATAGAAGTAACTATCCTTTGACGAGCTACAGTGAGATTATGATAGCGATAGTGATTGTTTGATGAGATCTAGGTATGTATCTATATTTGTAGTGAAACAACAAAAGTAGCACTCCTTGCATATATCATTTACTTTGTGAATTAGAATAATTGTAACGTACAGATCTGATTGTAAGACAACTTGTTAGACTTGTAAGTAATTATTTTGTGATCGGTAATTAGTAATTTGATTGAAAACGTTATTGTTACGATAGGTACGCAACATAATTTGTATTATAAATTGTATTTTTTCTTGAGTTATGAACGAAGGGACTCGTTACTGTGACGGATGGCCGACTGTAACGTTCAATCGATTAATCGACTTATAGTAGTTATGTCACGTCATCAGTTTTGACAGTTGAGCCTGTGTTGTCTATGAGCGAGCGAGCGAGCGGGCAAGCGGGCATTCGAATTTTGGCGCCAAGCGTGGCAGTGTGACACCCGTATTGTAAAAATACTAATTAATAAAAGTTTGTGTTCCACCAATTGTCGCCTTTTGTTGAAGATTTCCCTGAGCTGTGTTTCACGACATGATCTTCTTTTTTATTCACGAGTGACATTAAATTTTTCTAACAGTTAGTTGCCTAGCAATGTACCAAAGAGCTTTTCACTAGTGCTATGCAACCTCAACAGTTAGCACACAAACGCTTTTAGCGGTGTGTCATGGTGTGGTGGCATCGGATGTAACATATTGTAATATTTATATAGGGGCAATGTAATGAAAGGTAGGCTGTTTTAATGCCCAAAAGTGATGAATTCGGTATATACGTATTGAACATATCGTGAAACTTACGAACCCTATTTTTAAAGCGTTAAAATTACTCTCTGGCGACTTCAACAATAATTACATTTTTTTTATTCACTATTAAATATACGTAAAGAAATAAAATACATTGTTGTTCATATCTCGATTATTTTATTATTGACATAATGTTGACACATTATTCATTATAAGCTCACTGGCTTACCGGCCAGTAACTTTAAGTATTAAAGAGGTAATACACCACATTCACCATCATCAGCCTATAAGTGCTCACTGCTAAGCAAAGGCCTCTTCTCATACGGAGAAGGTTAGAGCATTATTCATCACGCTTGCTCAATGCGGGTTGGCGATTTCAAACATATAATTAGAAATTATAAGTCCAGGTTTCCTCATTATGTTCAGCTTCACCGTATGTCAGTGGTGTCTCAATAATCTAAGAAAGTACATATAACTTGGAAAAAGTCACATTAGTACTTGCCAGGTTTCGAACCCACGTCCTCATGCATGAGAAGCGGGCTCCTTAACCTCCGGGCCACGACGACATACATCATTTTACGACATATTTTTTTTATTGTAAGTATACTTATAACTTTGAGGTGTATAAGTGCTGTATTATGTCCGATTTGCAAAAAATAACAGGTTCTTAAATTATCCAATGAAAAGTTCGTTGCGTCCTCAATATAAAAAAAAACATTTATATAAACCCTTTGACGAAAACATTTAAAAAAATGTAGCAAAATAGGTACCCGATAGTATAAAAAATATGCCGATGTTACCTAAAGTTTAAGAAAAGATTCAATCCGCTACTAAGTATTGTGACATATATAAAGAGGTTTGGTGTAAATTTATCGTCTACGGTACTTTATGTTTTAATTTTTTTTACAAACACACGCAACAGCGCAGACGCCTGCCAGTAGTTCCTGCGCGAGCGGTGGCTGCGCCGTGTAAGGGGATTCACTACCAAATATACTGTAGGCGCACGGGTACTTGCTAATGCATAGTTCACCTTCCGATCAGAACCAGACCAGTCTGTACGGCGCGTTATGATGGAAGACCTAATAGATATCCACAACAGGGTTGGTGTTCAGCTGGGGTATCGTACGGTACGACAGTTGTATTGTGTTTATTGTATTGAAGAGAAATCAGCATCCTTTTTTAAACAGAATCTGCGAACATTTTTTTTATTTCATACTATTCAAGCAACAAATGTACACGACAGCATAATAAGCAGTTTGGTGCTCGTTATTACTAACGGATCATCTGTTGGTAAGCAGCCGGCGCCTCCCATGAAAACCCCATCACAAGATAATGTGGTAATGAGTTTGACGGCGGCAAGGTTATGAGAGCTTTTGACGGCCCTCTGAGGGAAAGGGATTTTAGAATTGGAAATATGGGTCTCCAAATTAGTGACTGGTGTCCTCGACCACAGGGCAAAACAGCGATGTAGTTGTTTTACGCCCGTTTTCTGTGATTTCGTGGTATAACTCCGTTCGGGCCTGTCCAGTCGTGCCGAAACGAATCAATAAAGTCGGTAAAAATATGGGGCGTGATGAAGTGTGCCTCTTTCTTATCCTTCCACATGCATCGTTGAATCGTTGAAATTGGATTCCATAGTCAGCAACACACTTTTGATGCCTGTCGTGTTGCGGGTATACTTAGGCTGTGGTAACCGTTTACCATCAGACGAATATTAAAGATTTTGGCATTTTATAAAAATGCTTATAATTTTTATCCTTGTCACAGAAATATTTTTTTTTATTATTACGAGAAATAAATTATATTATACAGCGACCACGCGCGAAGCAGTGGGTAACAGTAGGTAAGTTGGTCTAATCGTAAATAAATAGCGCGTGGGTAGGTATTGAGAAACTGCGAAATATTCGCAAGGACCCTGGATTAGGGATTATTTTTACTTTATTATAATACGTGTATTAGAAAAAGCACTGAAAATTCGTGGTTGTTATGTAGAAAAGTGGTTTTATAATTTTTTTTTGCTATGTACTATTCGGAGGAAGGGAATACTAAGCCCGTGCGAGTACTGAGTGCCGGCGGTGAGGTGAGGTGGCCAGCGGGTCGTGCCGTGCGTGAGTCGTGTCGGCTCGGACGGGACGAGCGGCTCTCGTCAGTAGCTGTATGTGAGTAAGGTGGTGCTCTAGTTGGGTCCGCGCCAAATAAAACTCATAAAAAATATCTGCTGTATGGTCAATTGGCGTCGCCTTAAATATCATGTTTAACTAAATGCGAATAACCTACTACATTTTATTTTAGTGTTTACGTTACACCGAGCACGTGGCGGCGGTCTGGCTTCCGTGAACTTTAATTTGCAAATAACTGATGAATCTTTTGCCTAAAGATTTAGGGTTCATTTTGGCTTGAGACTGTATTATCTTAGAAAGGGTCAACTGTGAACGGGCTACCTATCTCGTTTTCGCTATCAGTAGTGTGAAACAGGTGATCCTGAAGGTGACGGGTATCGGCGGGTGTCGGCGGGTGTCGGCGGGTGTCGGCGGGTGTCGCGTTAGTCGGCGTACGCGCGCGTCGTCCCGGCTGTGCTTGCTCGGCAGCGGCACTACCTCGCCGGCCCTCTCACTGGAGGGACGCCGCCGCGTCACTCGGAAGCTCATTTAAGTTGCGCGCTCGTGCTAACTTTGTTTACATCTGTGTCGCGCGAGTGACAGCTCGGCCCAGCGGGACAGTGCCTTACAACAAGTGCGATGTCGGGCGCCACGGTGCTCAGCGAGGAGTGGAGCTCGGGCTGGGGACGCTGGCAGGCGAGGCTGGCGCTGCTGCTGGCGCTGCCGGTGCTGCTGACCGGCGCCTACGGCACCAACTACGTGTTCCTCGCTGCGCCCACGCCGCACAGGTAAAGCTACTGTTTGACCATCGATCGTAGACCTATAAGCATGCTTCTAGTTAATTTAGTATTAAGCTCGAAATAATATAAGTTGCTGTAAAATAGAGATTATTTCTGACTTTTCTAATTAGAATGTCAATTAAGTTGATCGGTATGATGTGGCTGTTATTTTTATTATCCACTGGACAGCCAATTATAAAATATTTATTGACAGTGTCAATAAATCTTCGACTAACGAAACAATTAATTATGAAAACGTTTCCTGTTCATGAATAAAAAAATAAATAGCTTAACGTTCTATTTAAAATAGAGTTTACCTCAACCTTAATTCATTTGTTCGTAAGTTAAGTATATCCGATCCGTGTGTCCACATAGCGGGACCAATGTTAATGCGGGCGAGCTTTTATAATAATTAGACTCAATGAATGAGGACGGAGTGCGTTATGTGTGGTAATGAATATTTGTAGTAGAGCGCGGCACGCACGCTGCGCGCGGCGCGACCCTTGTACTGCGCGTGTAGTCTGTAACTACATGCAGCCCATCCCTGCTCTGAGAGGTGGTAATGGGACGGGCTAGAGAAAAAATATCGAAATTGTACTCTGATAATGTACAATGTACAGCAGGTGCAATTTCCGCAGGACCAATTTTTTTATGATCCACGCATAATTGTTTGTTGTTCTTGGTTTGATATGTGTGCCGCTCGAACGCAGAGAAAATATTGAATGTTTAATATGGCTACTTATTTTTGACAAGTCGGCAGGCGGCAGCCTTACTAGTGTTATGAGGATTAGGTGGTCAAGCTCACCCGGGTCACTAGTCATGAGTGACCCCATGACCTGCCGACCACACGAGACTACACGGCCCGTCAGCACTGACTTACCGCTACTTAGTACTGCAAACTGCCCCTAGGTTTAGTGTTAACTTTTTTATTAAAAATTAAGGTCCATCAGTAGTCGCCAGGACTAACGTTCAGGTCTAATCACGATACGTTTCTTCACTTACGCCTTCATTCCAGAAAACATACAAATGTATACCTATTCGACCGATAACCGACAAATTGTGTGTCTGACACTCATACAGAAATAATGGCGCGTAAAAATAGTGTAGTGATAATATTATAATACTTTCGAGGATCGTGCCTCACGACGCAGTTAGGCTAAGGCTAAGAACTCACGGAGCGATTTTCGCCCGCGTCCGCTGCGGTTGCGGGCCCGCAGCTTCTGTAGAATTCAAATATTTATATAAAAAATTAAAGCACATTTCACGACGCGTTTTACGCCCGCGGTGTACGCGGTTGTATGCGGCTCCCGCTGTACCGGCGGGCAACTAGTAGAATCGCGCGGGCCGCGGTTACCCGCAGCCTCGGCGGGTGGCACCCGCGCGCTTTGCGATCTGTTGGCGAGTTGCCGCGGGGGCCGGCGGGTCTTCTGTGAAGTAAATAGAACGCAACGGCTCGTTTCTGGTGTGTGTCCATGGCGGTCTGGACCTCAACTGATCGTTAACCGCCCGTCTTGCAATCTTGCGATCATCGCCCGCCACGTTTGCGGGCGATGATCGCAACCGCGGCGGCTGTGTAACCGCGCAAATAACCGGTCTCGTGAGTTTGGAAATAAAACCGCAGTTCCGCTACCGCGGCGGACGCGGGCGAAAATCGCTCCGTGAGTTCTTAGCCTTAGGGGATACTTTGTATGAATTATGTATGTATGTATGTGTTACTGGAAATGTATGCAATCAAGGAATTGTATACAAATCCTAGGAAATGTGTACAATACCGATACTAGTTAGGAAATGTATAAAATATTGTTTGAAAAATTATTTTATGCACATATGTGTGTGTATACCTACTCAGAATTGTACATAATTCCAATATCGAATTAATAAATTTGTAAAATATATGCTTTCTGTACTAAAACACATTGTTAAAATGAGAACAATATTTTTTTATATATTGCTGTAGCCCAGTTTTTTTTTGCAAAGGCTTTAATTCTTGGTCGGTTCCAGTTGATTGTAGGTTGGCAACTGACCGTGGTGCAATCTTGGTACCTACTCGGTTCATCCTCTTCATCAAAAAGAACTCTTGGACTCGCATTAATTTGAGATCGTTCATTTACTTAATTGTTTAAAGATTCCGTTCTTGGTACCATTCATCGATCTCATCATCGGTTGTAGCCAAAATCACAGCTCTAATGTTACGTGCATCACCTCGTCTTTACCAACCTCGGCAGCGCCAGTAGGTACAGGGGCCAACTTCTTTTCACTCGATTTCAGCATTTTTTCAACTTGTTCCTATAGATTTTTCTTAACATTTTAACGATTATTTAGGCCTTTAGATCAAAAGTTTTGAACACAAAACTTTTGATCCAAATCCTTCATCGGGTGAATTAAAACGTTGTTAGAAACTTGCCTTACCTCTGCCTCCATGTTCACCTTAGGAAGTTCACATGCAGTGACTTTTTTACATTTCTGATTGCTATTTAGGAAATATTGTATAGATTTCCTAGGAATTGTGTATAATATGTATAATTTATTTCACACATATTCGTGCGATTTTAGGAATTACATACATTTTTCTAGGAATTGAATAGAAAGACGGATTACATAAATTGCCGTTAACTAACTATGTATACACATATTTGTGTGTATATTGGATACAAGTTACAAAATATCTACACACTACATAATAGTACTAATTAGTGAACATCAATGTAAGGTCATGCAGCGTAGCTGTATTGTTTTCACTGCATGGTCTGCATGAGATGCCGTGACCCTTAGTGCTACGCCGCCTACACTTTGCGCATAAGTTTGCTAGCTTAGCTACGGCGCCGATGGCGTAGCGGTCCCGTAGTCGAGGCGTAGCGGTTCTGTAGTCGAGGCGTAGCGGTGGCGTAGTTGAGACCTACCAGTTGCGTAGCGGCTGCGTATTGCGGCCTAAGTCGTGAGTCGTTTCATTCACAATACTATAATGTAAGTTATGTACGTAACTTGATAATGACTTGAGTAATGGAGGCCATGCGTGATGCGTGTGTGTGTGTCGGCGCGCCGCGTGCACGCACTGCGCACACGTGTCGCGGGCGCGTGTGTGTTTGTTTACTAGAAGCCTGCGATTATTGGTAATATAATACAGGACATTACACTATCGCCGCGCGTGTTATTATTACCTGTAGCTCTCGATATCACTACGCAAAGGTGTTTGTTCACGTACGAACATTGTACCTCCAGCAGAGTGGTTGCTATCGTGGCCAGTGGCAGTCAGTGGCAACATGCTGCATCCAGCATGCAGCTGTTCTCCTAATATAAGGGTTTGTAAGAAACATCGTGTAATGGTCAGCTGTGAGGTTGCGTCGCGTAGTTTTATTTTGCAATACTAAACATAAACATGTAAACAAGTATTTAGGCTCGCCTTATACTCGTATCGTGTAGATAAGGCGGCGGGTTATCTCAAGCCGCTGCCGATGACCGACTTTGTGGGAACGATTGTTTCCTAATCACTCGCGTGGTTACCTAGCTGGCGAGCTGACGGTGGCTGCGTGTGTCGCACTCAACAGGCCGATAGTAGGCTGTGACCTGAGATATCACTAGCTGTGCTCGACACTACTTCTTCAAACAATTAAACCACAGAGATCGAATGATACTACGATTGCAATATAATTTAGCAAACGAGCAGATGGATTACCATAGGCAACACCAAAGGGGTTTCGAGTGTGTTGCCGGCCTTTTGGGGATAAGCGTTGCGGATATAGGAATTGGGAAGGGATAGGGGAATGGGAGGGATTCGGCCTTCGGTAACCTCACTCACACGGCGAAACACAACGCTGTGGTTGTTTCACGCCGGTATTCTGTGAGGCCGTGGTAACACTCTGGTCGAGCCGACCACTTCGTGCCGAAACTTGGCTCTTCCACACTTAAATATTGATAATTCTTCAGAACTGAAGAACTTCCCTCATAACCAAAATACTGCGTCTGTATGGACCGACGTCGCACTCGAGTTGTCAGTCTGCGCGGCGCATGCGCACCTGCGACTACTCATCCTCTATTTGTTATCAACAACACGTAATTTTCCTATGTTTATATTCGGTAAACCAGTTCCTTATTGATCAATATTTGTCCTCATTTAAATATCGTTGATGTGACAAAAAGTGCGAGTTTGAATATTTTATTGTACAGACACGTGACCGCGGCCACCCACTGCCGCCGCTGCCCAACAAGAGGGAACTTGATTTTGTTCAATTAGAATATAATTATAATAAATTACGTCGATAACATTGTTTACAAAAGAATAAGAAATACAGATGTCAGTATATACTACGCTACTACTATACTATACTACTACAGCTATGTATATTACTCTATACAAAAATACAATTAATTCACCTACTTGAGAAACTTATTTAAATATCTATTTGCGCATACTACAATAATGTATACACTATAATATCTGTAACTATCTACATATACTGTCGTCTGCGTGACGTTGCCACGGCGCGCACGCTACTCGTGAATTAGAGTCCCGCTGTGACTTGAAACTAGTAGAGCTTTTCTCAATTAATTCACGTGAGTAAGTTGTACAGTAACAGTTAGCTACAGAGCTTAACGTACGGTACTGAATATGGAGCTTTTATTGTAGCTTTTCATATACATATTTACATTCATAATTCCAAGGAAAATAGTTTGCATCATCACAAACTATTATTATAAGTATATTTACATGTATACTATTTTATTCGTAGATTATAATATTCATTGTCAAAATCGTGTGTAAAGTAAATCATACAGTCATTTGGACGTTTTTCGGTTGAAACTGAAGTTAACGCAGTATTGAACCCTGCGGTATTCGCATTGGTGGTTGTTGTTGTCTAGTGTGTTGGAGATGTACTGAACTTGCATCAGCATGCTCCACACGCGGTCGGCGAGGGCTCCATCCCGAGGCACGAGCTTCCCGCGACCCACAGCAATCTATTCACTGAGCTAATGAAAGTGTGCACCACATTACCCACTGCTATAACAATGACACTTGCTGTATAACAACTTCATTACTAACTACCCTCATTATTTAGTGTATAACACAACACGAACATTTTTTTTATCAAGTAAATCAAATCTCAGCAATTATGTTTTTTGCACAAATTACTCGTTAGTACGCGTCTTGATTGTCCGTTACGTGAGAGGTAATAGAATACTAGAATAAACTATTCAATTACTTTTTGTTGTTGTTTATATCCAACACGGGCAAAAAATGGCCGTGAGTTAAGTAAATCCAATTTGTTACTTCAATGGGAATAGTAAAATACGTCGTTATGTTAGTTTTGCGGTTGTTTTTATCTGTCCATTCCCTTGACCGTGATAACTTTCACTACAGATCGAGTGAATACGACACTAACCCGCTATCTCTCATTCGTACACTCATTCTGTTCTATTTGGGAGAGCTGTGAGCGCCCACAGCAAGATGTCTGCTGCGGTTTGAGCACGATAACAGTTCACGGTACATATTTATACGGAAGTAACTTTAAAATAAGTCGGCAGACTACCTACTGGATGTACCAAAAATAGATTGATGAGCCAATGGTAAGTGACCGACTGCTGATTAGTGGCAGCGCCTGCGTGCGAACATCTCATCTGCCACTCGTTGACAACGTAGTTCGCAAATATTAGCGAGTTTGTAGGTGCGGGTACTTTGTCCCCGGAACTGAAGCAGGTCAGCGCGGCGTGGTGCGTGGGTTGATGCGGAACTCATTACATTCAACCCGCAGCCGCGTGTTTACGTACTGCCGACTGGTTTCTGTCAAGTGCTGCGACTGGCGCCGAAATAATAACTCGGCTGAATTCCGCCGGCCGTAGGGCGAGAAAGATATTAATGGGGAATTTGTCGTCCAGAATGACAAGGCCTGGATATATTCTTATTTAAAGAACAACAAAATATCACTTTCTTTAAAAGTTTACGTGTTACTAGAGTGAAATTTATTTAGTTACTTAAGGAAAAGATCTGTATTAAAAACCCTGCGTGTAGTTTAGATCTTGTCAACTGTATAAAAATAAAACTCATATAACGGCCGTTGACCCCAGCATCAGCTGCAGGATCTTATTTCCATGTAATTGAAATGAATGCTCGTAGACAAGCTTCGCTTTATGGCTCGCGGCGATGGTGCTCGTAATTCGGTTAATGGTCCGTTATATTTGTTTTCATCAATAATGTAAGTAGTATGTCCGCAATGACACGGCCGTCACGTGAGTGCCGGCCGGTGCCCGCTGCTACTTGGCGGTGCGTGGTACCGTCAACCCGTTACTATCTACACATGTAACACATACGCAGCTTATAGTTTAGTCAACAAACTGTAATGATTGTTTAAACGCGACGATGTAGCCAACTAGTCTAGGAGACACAGCTGCTTGGCACATGCGCCCAGTAGGTCATGTGCTCGCGCTAGCTAAATGCCATCCGCACTAGTGGAATACAACACAATGAATCCACACAAGCACACGATATATGTTCTCGCGTCAATCCCATTCCCAAACATTGAGGTCTCTATTATTTTTCTTTTGTTACTGACATGGCGGATGGAGTACACACATAAATATTCATTACAGGACCGACTGACTGACAGACACAATTTTTTTATCATTGAATATTTTGTTAGAATGTGCCTTATATTGGTCTAATTGAAAGTAATGATTTACTAGGTCTTTTGAACTTTATATGTATTAAAAATGTACCAATAGTCCCTATACTTAATTGATATATCTACATAGAATAACCACAACAGGAGCTGCGAATACTTTTACTTATTTTTTATTTGAAGTAATTTACATGTTCGAACATGTCGCTTCTGCCTCACCCACGAAACCTGTGATGGTGGTCCAATGTTAGAGAGCGACTTTAAACCACAAACTATAATTTCATGAGCCTACAGCTTTACTAAGCACCTTGTTTCGAGGATCGCCGATCCTATGTATAGACAAGCAGGTACAGCGCTTTTAGTAGTTTTGTAAGACGAGGTTGGAATACTTATTGCTGGTTATAAATATGCAAAGCTGGTGGCGCTGGTTGCGGCGCGAGTTTGTGCTAAGAAGGCATTACTACTTTGTTATTAAGAGTCGAATTTATGAGAAACCGCATTTAAATGTACGCGGACTGCAAACGTTGGAACCAGAACAAGTTATATATTTGCTAGGGCTTACAGGGACATTTTAGCAGCGCTGATACTCAGGTGCTTAATGTAGGTTGTGGTGGTTGTTGCAGATGCCATGTACCGGAGTGTGAGGGCAACAGGTCGATGGGGGTGGCGAACGCGGAGCAGTGGGAGGGCGCGGAGTGGTCGCAGTGGGCGCTGCCGGCGGAGGCGCGCTGCGAGCGCTGGCAGCCCAGCCAGCACGCCTGCGCGCCCCACGTCTTCGACAACACCAGCGCCATCGCCTGCGACTCCTACGTCTACCAGCACGGTAGCAGTATCGTCTCTGAGGTACTACGCCACGATTTACAGAAAAATTAAAGCATATACCTCTCAATGAGCGCTGTCGAGAAAAACATTAGCGTGTGCAAGCCCTATAGTAGCCATGCACACACCTTTTTGGGTGAAAAACATAAAACGGGTTGACACATCGTTACGTAGGTAAACTAGCAAGTTCTGCAACTTGTAAGTATGGGAAGTACAACTAGACTTGGAGGCTGTCTATTTATGCATCTTAGAACGGGTTGGAAACTATTTCTGCATTTACACCGCTAGGCAGCCGGCAAGCTATACCTGTGTGACTGTGTGCTTGTTGTACGTACGTACTTCAACTGTCGGCTAGGGTTCATGGGAGGTTGTAGTTCTCTTAGAACTGGCTTTTGCAGTTTTGAACATTTGTGTTGATTGTGGAAGGAACAGGTTTGGGCCAGTGGCACTCACCACGTGACGATGACTCAGAATGTCGGGCCCACACGGTTAGAATGTGTGACATGCCCAACAGATGGCCGGTTGCCTGCCAGCAATTCGTTGACCCTCCGGCTGCTCCACAAACACGTCAGAGCGGTATTCACTTTCTCATTTCATTTGTCATGTTTCCAGTTCGACCTCGGCTGTCAGGAGTGGAAGCGCTCCCTGGTGGGCACCGTGCACAACATCGGCATGCTCATATCGCTGCCCATCATGGGCTTCGTGTCAGACAGGTAACGACGACAATGAGCTCCATTACCCATGTCCATGAATGCATGCGTCCGTATGTTTCGCGAGGAGTGCGAGTGGTACGCGCCGCGACTCGTCCATTGGTCTATTTCAGTGCCGATGCTTATATTTTTAACCACCACGGTTACACTTTGTCGATCAAAAATGAGTCAAATGTGTGGACTACTAGAGTTGTTTATCTTTTGTGGCAGAGGTTCCGAGCAAGCAAGCACGGGATATGGTTAAGTTATGTAAATAACATTCGAGAGCTCGTGATGGCATTCCTCGCGCCATGTTATTATCTTGTTTGTGCCTCTACTATACTGTGCGCACATGTACTATGGGTATGACCTTGAAATTTCTTACATTCTCAGATGATAAGAAATTTGATACCCGCGTAGGATATAATGTCTCGACTATATTTACCGATACTACTTACGTTGGAGGTACTTGTAGTTAGGGTGTACCGACATACTAACACGTATAATGTGAGCGTGACATTAATATAGGTCAGTTAACGCGCTGGTGTGCAGTAGTCGGTGTAGTAACGATACCATACGATGCAGGTAGTGCTGGGCGCCAGGTAGCGACCAGAGAGTGAGTAGGTCGCTGATTGCAGATGGGGCCGGCGCTCGGCGCTGGTGGTGAGCGGCTGCGGCGCGGGGCTGCTGGGCCTCGCCAAGTCCTTCGCCACCTCGTACCACACGTACCTGCTGGGCGAGCTGCTGGAGACGGTGCTGGGCGCCAGCGTCTACCCCTCCGCCTTCGTGCTCAGTGAGTGTACATTGCATAGTGTGCATTGCAGCGCGGCGAGAGGGCGCGGAGAGTGACGTGGGGCGTGTGTTGCAGTGATAGAGTGGCTGGGCGTGGAGCACCGCATCCTGGCCAGCCTGGTGCTGGGCGTGCCGCTGTCGCTGGGCGCGGCGTCGCTGGCGCTGGTGGACTACCTGGCGGGGTACTGGCGCACGTGGGCGCGGCTGGCGTACCCGCCCTCGCTGGTGCTGCTGCTGTACCCCTGGCTGCTGCCGGAGAGCGTGCGCTGGCTGGTGTCGCGCGGCCGCCTGCAGGACGCGGCGCGCGTCATCAAGCGGGCCGCCGCCTACAACGGCGCCCGCGTGCCCGCCGAGGCGCTCGAGAAGATGCTGCTGGAGCGCGAGCAGATCGGCGCCAGCGCGGAGACCAACATCGATGAGGGCCTCTTCACAGCACTGCTCAAGTCAGTACCACGCACCCTGTGCTATCCACATACCTACACTATGTATTACTCGCTAGTATAGGCCATACAAGTCCAGCAGCAGTAGGTACATAGTTACTAGGTATAACAGTACATAGCATAGGTACAACAAACAAACAACGCAGTTATTTGTGTATTTATGTTATGATGTTATAAAGTTTAATGCGCAGTTCTTTGTTATTAATGTATGGCTGAGATCTTATTAGTGAGGTATTTTTATACATAAAACATTACGTCTTATGATTTAAAATAGTTATAATAGTTTAAGTACTTAATGACTGCTGTTTGCTGTTAATTATGCATACTTTATGCATATAGTTAATAGTTTTTTAAAGGGGGCTAGGGGAAGCATTCTTTTCTGATTAAAAACCCGGCTGCATTCACGCAGATGTTGGTAATGTGATAAATTTTAAAGCAAGGTGTGCTGTGGTTAGGTACGGCGTGCTGCGGCGGCGGCTGTGCGTGTGCTGCGTGTGGTGGATGTCGGCGGTGTTCGTGTTCTACGGGCTGGCGGTGTCGGCGCACGCGCTGCGCGGCGCGGGCGGGCCGCACGCGACGTACGCGCTGGTGGCGGCGGCCGAGCTGCCGGCGCTGGCGCTGAACACGCTGCTGCTGGACCGCGCCGGCCGCCGCCCGCTGCTCACCGCCGCGCTGCTGCTCACCGCCGCCGCGCTCATCGCCATCCCCTGCCTGCCGCACGGTACAACGCCTCTTACACTTCGCTAACCGCCAACAAAGCAGTGCTTACACTTCCAAGCAAATTACCAGTTAGGTATATATGCGAGAACCATGATGACTATAGTTAGGTACAACTTAGAACACATAATTATAACCACAGTGCTACGGTCCGCGAGCACGATACCCAGCTTGAATCTCTCGCTTTATAGGTATCAGGTAGCGACCCACCCTGAGTCCTAGTGTCTAGTGCACGGTAGATAAATATTACTGATAAATAAATATTTGGATATTGATGGCAGGTTCAATGTTGTTATCGCGATAACTTAACATACATAATATTATTACTTACTACGTGATAATTTAAGTAAATTGATTGGGAGGTACACCATAGGTTTAGTTTGTCCATTTCGCGAAATGCTATTGTTCAACAAATCTATACTTCTATAGCAATATTATAAAGAAGTAAAATTTGTATGTTTGTAAGTTTGTATGTAGCGGGTAAGCTTTGGAACCGCTGGTCAGGTTGCCAAAATTCTTTCACTGATAGATATATACAATATTCTTGAGTGCTTAGAATAGACTATAAACATCACGCTACCGTGAAACCGCGCGAGAGTAGCTAGTACTTTTAAATACATAGATTACGCGTGTAAGTGCATCTATTGATTCATTTGCTTAGTTGTTGTTATTAAAACATTAAACAATAAATACGTATGTATCGTCGTCGTCGGGTACAACGTTTATGTCGTGTACTGGTAATATTTACAAATATAGGTGTGCACTCGCACCCCGAGTGTCTGCAATTGCTGCGTTGCTCAAGTTGACCGCTAGCGCTGGCCCGGCGAGCGGGCGGGCTGCCCGCCACTGCGAGATAACCCGCAGACAGAGAGACGCGCGGTTATCTGGGCGCGTGGCGGACGCGGCCGGATCATACTAAGCCTTTGACCTCTCCACGATATCTATTGTGCGAACAAAAAACATTTTTTTTTTAATAACTGTTGCGTTTTTGCAATTGTGCATATAGCTGTAATCTACCTACCTCGTATTATTTATTATCTATATAGCTATACGAGGTATGAAAAGATGGGACTGAGGCACCATCGCGCCCAGAACAACCTGAATAATTGCACAATAAGACTGCACAGTTGCCGTGGTGGCTGGGCAACTGGCTACGCAACGTGTCGCGGGTTCGATTCCCGTACGGAACAACTCTTTGTGTGATCCACAAGTTGTTATTCCGGGTCTGGGTGCGATGTGTAGGTGAATTTGTATGTTTATTAACGCACCCACGAGACAGGAGAAAATCCTAGTAACAACCCTGAATAATAAACTGAATAATTCCCATGCTTGTTGAAATATTGACGTGATGATGTGTGTAACAGAGAGCGGCGGATGGGGCACGGCGCTGTACCTGGTGGGCAAGATGGGCGCGACGATGACGCTGAACGCGCTGTACGTGTACACGGCGGAGCTGTTCCCCACGCGCGCGCGCCAGCGACTGCTCGCCGCCTGCTCCACGCTGGGCCGCGTCGGCGCCATCCTCGCGCCGCTCACACCATTGCTGGTCGGTACCCACAGCGAGTTACTTCCACCTTCATTTCCCTACAGTTATACCCTGGGTCTTTTCATATCATTCCTGTTATTTTTCTCATTTTTTGCGAGCTGCTTCTATAGAGAAGCGGCGCTACTTTTTTTCTCTAATTGCATCCCCACAATTACAGCTCCAGATTCCGTTACTTCTTTTTTTATGTGATAGGTCGGCAAACGATCATACGGATTACCTGATGGTAAGCAATCAGCGTCGCCCATGGACACCCGCAACGACGGAGGAGTTATGAGTGCGTTATCGACCTTTTGGGGATTAGGGATTTGGAAATTTTGGGAAAGGTAACGGATTGGGGTAGGGGAAGGATTGGGCCTCCGATAACCTCACTCACACGCCGAAACATAACTCTTTGGTTATTTCACGCCGGTTTTCTGTGAGGCCGTGGTATCACTCCGGTCGAGCCGACCCATTCGTGCCGAAGCTTGCCTTTCCAACACTTCTATTTATTAATACATATTTCCCACTTCAACTTCTACTGCATTACGTGCAAGTCTACTGTCACTAATTCTACCTCTCCTCCTCTCGGTATGGTGTGCAGGCGGTGTACAGATGGTGGCTGCCGACGCTGCTGTTCGGGTCGCTGCCGCTGCTGAGCGCGGCGCTGACGCGGCTGGTGCCGGACACCCTGCACCGCCGCCTGCCGGACTCCTTCGCGGACCTGGACGCCTCCTCGCAGGGCGACTCCTCGGCGCGGGACACACCCGTCGACGACTCGGTGTGACCCGGTGGTGCTCTCTAACAGTGGAGGTGTACCTTCGACTGGCTCTCTGCTGGTGCACTGGACATGTACACTCGACCTCGTTGTAGAGGTTACTTACATGCTATATTACTCGCACGCTCCTGTTAAAAGTGCGTTGATTCTGTTGTAATTTGTAAATAAAAGTAAGAAAATTACTTTGTAAGGCAGTCATAAAGAGTTTTTGAACAATCCCAGTAAAACTACGAGTAGTTTTTGTTATTACATAATAAAGAAACAACGCTACATAGTTATTAATTAGTGTTTAAGAAAATTTAATGCTTTAGATAAGTAAAATCGAACTGTATTTCAAAAATACAAATGTGTAAGACAGATTAGGAATTAAATTAATAATCTATGTAAAGACGAATTGTCACAATTTGTGTGTAAGACACAGTAAAGTAAGGCTACATTATTAGTATGTAGTAGCCATGTATATGGAAAAGACAGCACGTTATGTTAATTGTTACAATACAGTTGTTATATGTTTGTCACCAGACATGGTCTGCATTACACGAGTAAGTATACATATTAAATATTGCACAAAGCTGTAAAACGGCTGGAAATTAAAAGATTTTTGTAGTTTATTTTATACAACCTATAGTAAAACTATGGTTGTGTGCATACATTGTCTACTTATTTGTTTTGTAAAACCATTTAGTTAGTATAGAATACTGTTAAGGAAATATAGATGTAAATAGAAGTTATCATTTCATTTGCCCTTGAACTGTAATTTACAAATAAAATTAAAAGCACAACATTACATGAAGAGGAAATATGTGATTATTTGCTTTACATGCCCTATGCATATAGGAGAGCCATGCTGCGGCGAAACTGGGCCGGCTCGACTGGAGTGATATCACAAGGAGGATGAGTGTTGAGCACATCCACCCTCTGTCCATATTTCCATCCTCCAAAATGCTGGCAACGCACTCGTACCTACTCCTTTGGGTTTTGCCGATCTGGAGTACCTACCGTTTGCTTGTCTGCCGCCCTTTTAATAAGGAAAAATGGGTTCTTGAAGCAAAACATCTATCGAAAAAAATAATTTTCTATTAGAAAGTTCTATTTAAAAAAAAAACTAGCTACTCTCGGGCGTGATATTTTATTGCCTATAGCAGTCAGGAACATTGTAGATCAGTAAAATAATTTTGGCAATCCGACCAGCGGTTCCAAAGATTACCCGCTACATACAAACTTTTTTCTCTCATTATTATATTAAGTGTAGATACCATAGGATGGATTAACGGAGGAGTTTTTATTGAGAGATATTTTAATGCCTTGCGGATGAAGCCGCACTCGAAAAGCTGTAGAAAAAAAATTGATTAAAATATAAATCAGTGTATAGAAACATGTCCTTGTACACATATTTATTTTTGACACGAATACTTGCCTTGAGCGCCTTCATATAATATATTCCGTCAGGCGACTTTACGTCTCGTTGCTAAATAAATTTACCAGGAGTTGCCGATCTGCTACGTTTACGTAAATTAGCTTCAACCAGCGGTTTTAAAGTAGCCTTCAATGTAATTCTAGCCATACTATAATCTATCTCTATGTCCATTTTCATCAAATCAATCAGTAGTTTCTACGTGACAGAGTATCTAACAAAACATCCATTCATCTGTGTCCGTTACCCAGGCCAGATGTTGTCGACAATGGTCATTTGAATCTTATAGATAATTAGTTGTGCGGCTTCTGTAATTGTTGCGCACATTTTTAAATTTGTTGCGCTTATAGTTTATTAATTATTTCACAAAAACATTTCCTGCTGGCGTAACGTTACCACAGCCAGACCTTTTTCTTTCTAATGGGAATATTTAAATAAATATTAGCCATAAAATTAGTTGTCTAGATAAAGTAAATGTTGTGCCTTATTTTGTATTTGTTCTTTCTTCGGTTGCGAAGTTATTCGAGATTTTGCTGCGGTAACGTTATTGGTTTTGCTAGATCTTTGAAATGGTTAAGCGGATTCTTATCATATTTTGTACACGACTTCCGAGGACTTAGTTTAAATTTGTTGTGCAATAACAAAACCAAAATAATGCATATTTTAAAGGTTTTTTCATTAAATAGAAAAACACTTCAATTGGCCCCAGCACTCCCAATAAGAAGTCGAAAGACTTACTTCAAACGTAATTTTAAAGCTTGTAACTGCCTTCAAATGTATGTGAAGTTTCATTAGTATCCCGTAAGTATTTAACAAGTTATTATGATATTCAGTTCTTCACGAGCACGGTCTTAATGCACGCGGTGTTATTTGGCCACTGGCTTGGATATATGAACTGAATATTATGTCAATGATTAGTTGTTTAGATCAGTTGTATATCAGTAAAATTTCAGCTCAATACATTGGATAATTAATGAGATAATACTATTAAAGTCATTAGGAAGTGAATGACCGTGGTAAGCCGACCAAGTTTAGGTGGTTACGAAAAAGCGAAAACGCAGAACATTGTACTATCTTTTGAAATGTTTAGTATAATACACCTTACAATTTTGGTACAGACGCGTACACTGCTAATTACCTATATAATAATAATATAAAAGAAAACATTATCTTCCAGTTCCACAAAATTATCAAAAATCACCGCTAGAGCATGCCGTTCGGTAGGACGCAGGAGGAGTGGGGTGAAGGGGTAATACATTGTTTGCATAACGCACTCAGTCTTGCCAGAAGGTTACTTTTGTAACCTTTTAGATGATTTTTGAACTGCATTTTGAAATAGAAATGACAAGGACGGGTGATGTTTAATCGGTTGCTAAGCAACACAAGTTTTTATAAGTAAGGGAGTAAAAGTTCAATTGAAATGATTATTTTACCTTTCAATAAAAAATCTTGAATAATCATGTAGTTTTTTTTTAAACTTTTGTACATGTCTGTACTAAATTTATAACACTATCCTACATATTTTAGAAGGTACCATAATGTTCTGCGTTTTCGCTTTTTCGTAACCACCTAAACTTGGTCGGCTTACCACGGTCATTCACTTCCTAATGACTTTAATAGTATTATCTCATTAATTATCCAATGTATTGAGCTGAAATTTTACTGATATACAACTGATCTAAACAACTAATCATTGACATAATATTCAGTTCATATATCCAAGCCAGTGGCCAAATAACACCGCGTGCATTAAGACCGTGCTCGTGAAGAACTGAATATCATCATAACTTGTTAAATACTTACGGGATACTAATGAAACTTCACATACATTTGAAGGCAGTTACAAGCTTTAAAATTACGTTTGAAGTAAATCTTTCGACTTCTTATTGGGAGTGCTGGGGCCAATTGAAGTGTTTTTCTATTTAATGAAAAAACCTTTAAAATATGCATTATTTTGGTTTTGTTATTGCACAACAAATTTAAACTAAGTCCTCGGAAGTCGTGTACAAAATATGATAAGAATCCGCTTAACCATTTCAAAGATCTAGCAAAACCAAAAACGTTACCGCAGCAAAATCTCGAATAACTTCGCAACCGAAGAAAGAACAAATACAAAATAAGGCACAACATTTACTTTATCTAGACAACTAATTTTATAGCTAATATTTATTTAAATATTCCCATTAGAAAGAAAAAGGTCTGGCTGTGGTAACGTTACGCCAGCAGGAAATGTTTTTGTGAAATAATTAAAAAACTATAAGCGCAACAAATTTAAAAATGTGCGCAACAATTACAGAAGCCCCACAACTAATTATCTATAAGATTCAAATGGCCATTGTCGACAACATCTGGCCTGGATAACGGACACCATTCATCTATACTTATATCTACTTTTGCTATTCTAATAAGTACCTATTAGTGGGATAATCATCATTAGTGTTTGTGATGCCCATGCTCATGACACTGTGATGTTAAAGGATAGCTCCAATTTTTTATTGAGGTGGGACAATCATAAAATGATTTCTGGGTGGGACGAGAGAGAATAGACCATACAGGTCCACAGACTGGGGCCTATTAGGACCGATGTCCAGCCGGAGTTGCGGGTGCAATAGCAATAATATAAATCCGGCCGGGACGGCCCGGGGTAGAAGAAGGGATGCTTTTATATATGAAGTCTGAGATTCTCTCTCACACCACCCGGGGCGGAAGAAGTTAATGGCGAACAACAGCCTAGCGTAGAACATACATACCTATACCTATTTAAATCTGTAGATTGAACCTAATAAGCCGCCGATTAAGTTTAGATAATATTCGCAAAATCTCAAAAATAAAAACGTATTTTATATAGCCTTGAACTCTTGGAGAACTAACCGGTCTGCCTATTGGATAAATGGATAAATAGAAACGACCTTATTTGTATGGGGAAACAGCACTACTTGGCGGTGTAGTGAGGGCCAGAAACCGACTCAGAGACCATTCAAAGTCAAAGTCAAAGTCAAAATCATTTATTTCAATTAGACTCATACAGGCACTTTTGAACGTCAACACAACTTTAAAGATACAAAGTGTCAGTCTGTCGGTCAGTCCTTTTAGTGAAGCTATTCGCTCGTTCCAAAGTGTAGATTCCGATGGAGAAGAACGAGAAAGAAACTCCATGGTTACTCTTTTAAAACCAGTGTCACATAAACATTCTTTGATACATTATTTAGTTGGTTTGAATATGTGAGAACAGTGTAACGCGTATATACAGAGAAACATAAAAAGAAAATAACCTTAAGGACAATAGACAGTCCTGAGCTGTCCCAATTGACGGCGCCCGTTCACGAGCATGACACGTACACCAGCATCGCCCAACTCAACCATAATATAGGGAATCGAGCGATCCAGTGACCGTGCCACCGCCAATGTGACCTTTGAGTGAGCATGAAAACTCCAAGCTGACATAAGGACCGACATTCTGCTAGTCTAACTAATTTTAGTAGGTAGGATAAATTTATCAAGTTTAACAATAAAAATAGCATGGTTACAAATTTACAAAATCTAATTGTGGTGACTGTGTCCTCACAGTCTTCGGACACATGCTGTCTACCACGTGGTTGTGTCTGACAGTTTTCAGGTGGGTAATGTGTGATTCTTATTTATACTAATGCCTATTTGTTTAGTTAGACGAAAAAAAATAATGCTAGTGTTGAGAAGAGGGGTAATTGATGTTTCGGCATCGTTTTGCACGAAGCTAGCAGCTTGGTGTGGTAAGTGGAGTACGGAACGTAAAGGTGCGGCTGGAATTATTTCATTTTATTAGCTTCTGCAAGCGACTTCGTGCCCACCATTAGGGTAAGAAGCCGATCCAAACTATAATCTATATTCGAGTCCTAAACTTTCAGTAGTCTTTATTTTTTTTATGTGCTAGAACGGTAAACGAGCTTTCGGATTATCTGATGGTAAGCAACCAGAGCCGCTTATGGAAGCCCGCAACAACAGAGGAGTTACGGGTGCGTTGCCGACCTTTTAGGGATTTTGGGATTGGTGAAGGATTGGGCCTCCGGTAACCTCACTCACACGGCGAAACGCAACTCTGTGTTTAATGTGAAAAAGGTTAAACATCCATCCATACTTACACATTTACGCGTTTATAATGTTAGTACGCTTAATACGATTAGCTACATCGTAATACATAGTAAGAATAGTACAAAGGCCACTAGATACATAAAAGTACGCGTGTATATTATTTACTTTCATATCAGTGCCGACACTTCCTTCATCCGATGATCTGACTAACTGAGATTTACTTGACACA